TACTTGATTATATTTTTACACACTTTTAACTATTTTAAAACTATTTAAATAGCATAAAACTAAATAAATCTATAATTCTGTTATATATGATCCAATGAACATGAAATTTTTACTACAGTTAAATCATATAAAAATTAGTCTACCATAAAAATTTCACCACAATTGGACTATAGAAACTATAGCTTTGAATTAATTACAGAAAAGCATAGATCTAAATTTACAATAAAAAAATTATACTGAAGCATACCATATTATATATTCAGTGTGTAGATCTACTCATGTGGAGTCTAATAAAATTGAATTTTCTATTTTATGATTTTTCTGTGATTTACTATGATTTTTTTTAAAAAATAGCCAAAATAAATAAAAAACAAAAAACAAAACCGCATTTGAAAACCACTCAAATCCGGGTCAGGGATGTCAAATGAACGGTTTTAAAAGTTATGGGAGGTGGTTTACCTGATTTTAGAATTTAGTGAGGAAAATTAGACTTTAAGAATAATTTAAGGAGATAAAATAGACTTTTTCCCTTTTTTTATCTGGGCGTTCAATCATCCGCCTTTCCTCTCTTAGTCGTTACTGGCCCACAAAATCACCTGCCTCTTCTTCCTGAGAAATTTAGATATCTAACCCGTTATTCGAGCGCCTCTCGTAATATAACCTTCAATTCGCATGTCTTTAAAAATATGACCCATGTCCTGTGAATTGTTTTGAAATTTAGTCTTTTCAAGATTTTCTTAATTTCTATAATTCCAGGGGCTCTCTTCACTGTTTAGGGCATGGGAAAAGACATTACTGCCCCTCCCTCATTCCAGAGACACATGCCTAACCACTCAGATGTGTCCCAGGTGGTGTAATCTCCTTCCTAGCCTATTCATTTTTCTTCCCAGCTCCGTCCCATGCTCCTAAAGACTAATATTTTGCACAGATCAAATATATATGTTCAAAATAAGTGTAAATAACATGTTTTACACGATAAAAACAGCCATACAATTTCACCATAAATAATAAAATCAACTGCACAATTCCAGCATAGATTTAATATTAGTACACGTTCACATACAATTTAATAAATAGGTTCACGTCAACAACTCAGCCATCTAGCCAATCTGATACGACTACAAGTTCACATAAAAATAGCCATACAAAAAGAGTCATCCAGCCAATTTAGGACCATAAGTTCATATGCACAAAAGATGAACGGGAATCTTAACGGACAAAAGTCTGGTGACATTAAAGAAAGATTATTCAAGCATCCATGTTCTTCCCCTTCCTTGGAGTGAGTTTTTTCTTGAGACCTAACCTCTTGGACTCTTCCTTGGAGTGGTCATTGTATTACTTGGCCCTTCTCTAGTTTCACTACATATCATAGGTCAATGGAATGGTTCATTACATGAGATAAGATGCACACATGTCACACACAATGAATGATTTTTACCTTATTGTAACTGCTCTGGGGCTTATAGTGATTTGATTTGTCCCTCCAAGTCCCCCCATTGTTAGTTGCAATTGGCTAAAAAATGAGAAAGGTTAATTGCAATAGGTTAAAAGAGACTAGTGTTGATTTTAGTTTTCAGGATTCACCTTTGCCTCCTTGTAACAGGTCTAGGACTAGTGTTGATTTCACTTGTGCCTTCTGCCACTACAACCTTCTTCCTTTTGGATGGACTAGGAGTTGCATCACCTTTGCTACAACCAGCAAGTCTCCCTGCCTTCCCTTTCTTGGCTCGACTTTTCCTGTATAAGAAAAATTGAGATGAATACAAAATATTCAGCAAGTATGTATTATTTCAAAAAGGCATACACATTTACCTCTTCTTTGTTCCATTAAGAGGGCACTTTGGAGAGTTAGTCCTATGGCCAAGACCCAAGCAATTTTGACACTTAACCTTCCACATGCCTTTGCCCCTAGGCTTGCTTCCCTTGTTCTATAGGCTGTTAGGTTTTCTATTTTTCCATTGTCTTCCAACATCTCTCTTATCTAGTGGTGGCATCACTTTGAATCCAAGTTCCACACGCACCCACTGAGATTTATCGGGCAGTGGTTTGATCACACCACCATAGGCTAGTCTAAAACGGTACACTGAATAATAAGGATCCAAGTAGTCTTCCATCTTAGCATTTCTACAAGTGATGATGAGTGCCAAAGCATGTGCACATGGTTTACCTGACACTTGCCACTCCCTACAGGTGCATACATGGTCCTTAATATTCACCACATGTCTTATGATCTTGTGTGAAGCAGTGACCTCTGAGACCTGTGCTTCATCCCTTCCACCTGCTTCTGTGTTCAAGTGACCGAGCTGCCGGGTCATTGCATATAGCTGGCGTACAACAAGTGGCGGCATTACATGTCCTTTAAATTTTTCACCTATCCTTCTCCTTCTTGCATAAAGTTCCATGAATTTGGACCTCAGTTTGTCTACAAGGTCAGCCACTGGAAGGTCCTTAAGGTCTTTCACCCAATTGTTCCAAACCTCTGCCACATTGTTAGTGATATGATCACACTTTATTGCCTCTGAGAATTGGTTCCTCATCCACTTTAACTTGTGATTGGCTTTCAACCATGGCTCAACATTCTTGTTTACTTCATACATCTTCTTCATCAAGTATTTATGGTATTCTGGTTGAAAAGTCCTGGCTGCAGGATACATTCTCCCAAATGCAGGCCCTTGAAACCTCTTGCTAAAATTCTTCATCAGATGGACAAAACATTCTCTATGCTCTGCCCAAGGGAATACCTTCTTCACTGCATTCTCTAGGCCCTTGCAAGCATCTGAACTTATAGCTAGGTGAGGTGGATCACCAATTGCCTTTTGCAGCTGCTGCATAAACCAAGTCCAATTATCAGTAGTCTCACCATAAAAAAATCCAAATGCAACTGGAAAAATCCAGTTGTGCCCATCTAGTGCTGTAGCTGAAGGTAGGTGCCCGTTCCATCTACCATTGAGAGTTGTAGAATCAATACTCAAAAATGGCCTACAACCATTAAGGAAACCATCAATGCTTTGCTTCATACAATAAAAGAACCTATGGAAAAATACACCTTCCTCCGTATTCACAACCTCTATCTCTACAACACTTCCTGGCATTCTGAGCTCAATCTCTGCCTTGAAGTTGAACAAATAACCAAAACTATCTTCCCATGTGTCAAAAAGTTCCTGTCTTGCCTTCTCCCTCCCAAGATGCACAGTTGGGTACCCAATTGTGACTTGATACTTTTCCTCTAACTCTTTTTTTTAGTTTTGTTGCAAGAATGTTTGGATCCTTCTTTAGAAAAGGGATTGCCTTATCTCTTACCCATTTGTAGCTTGCCATCTTGGTTATCAATTCTTTAGTAGATGGACAAAAATGCTTTACTTTATTTACTGCAACCTGTCAAATTGAAACAAACATGTCAGTTAGTGTGCTGCATATGAAAAGTGACAGAACATCCATGCATATATATGAAAAGTGTTAGTGTGCTGCATATGAAAAGTGACAGAACAACCATGCATATATATAAAAAGTGTTAGCGTGCTGCATATGAAAAGTGTTAGTACCCTGACTTGTTGATCATCACGCATCAACATTGCTGAAATAGTCCATGAACAACCCTCATGAGCGCATTTGCCGCTAAAATAATCTTTGCGAGATTTCTTTGTTGCAAGCTGAAATTGCCCCTTTATAGCATGCTGTCGCACTGCAGCCCTAAACTCATCCATACTAGAATATATTGTTCCAACTTCCATTGGAGGGCCTTCTTTATCACAAAAAATAGAATCCTCACCAGGTACATGATCATGAACCAATAAGTCTGCATCTTGTAGCTCCACATCATCAAGATTAATTTCAGTCACCTTTTGGGCCGCCATCCTAGCCTGTTCAGCTCTCTCATCCTCTGCTCTAAGGCCAACAAACTCATACATTGCATCCTCATCCATCACAGGAAGTGTAGTACCAATCTGGTCTTCTATAAGAGGAGTTATCAGCAGACTCTCCTAGTCAATTTGATGAGAAACAACTGTAGGATTGCCGTAATCTCCTTGTTCTGTGGCATTGTCATGGCCTACATTACTTACAGCAACCTCTGCCTCTGTAACAGCTGAGTTGAAAAATATTTCTACGGGTTTATCCACGACATCAACAATGGACGGATCGATTCTACCAGATACCAACAAAAAATAAAAGAGACACAATTTAGACTGTACCCCCAAATCAACAGGAACCCTAAACATACAGTACAGAGGGAGGAGATTGGGGCTCTTACCCTGGAGCCATGGAGCAGGTGGAGGTCACAGCTCCTTCAGCCGCAGTCCAATGGACGGCGTAGGGGCCGACCCTGTGGTGGACGCCGCAAACCCCCTCTAACCCTAGCTTCCTTGCCGAGAGGAGGAGGCGCAGCTGCTAGCGGAAGGAGGAACTGCAGGGAGGCGCGAGGAGGAGGAGGAGCGGGAGGAGGGCGCGGGCGCTAGCCGTGGCCGGCGAGCGGCGGGCGACGATCGGACCTGGCCGGCGGCGAGCGGCGGAGACCGGGCAGCTCGCAGACGCCGCGACGCGTGGTAGTCCATCGCGGCGCTCGCGACTCGTGCTCCTGCGAGTCGAGTCCAGGCCCTAGCGAACGGGAACAAAACAGAAACAAGGGAGGGGTAATGATGTCTTTTCTCCCGTCCCAAACAGTGAAAGAGGAATTTTGGAATTATAGAAATAGAGAAATCCTTGAAAAGATTAAATTTCAAAACAATTCGTAGGATATGGGTCATTTTTTGAGAGACATGCGAATTGAGGGTTATATTACGAGAGGCGCGCGAATAATATCTAAATTTCGCACGCAATGGTCGCCGTTCGTCTCCACGGCCTGCGTCCGTCTGGAGAGGTGGGTGGGGAGTCTACCGGCCGCGGGTAGCTGGGGCGGTCGCGTCACCTTGCCTATACGAAGTGTCCGCTCCTACTTCATTCGGTCCATTCCGCCGCTCGAAGGAGTTGAGAGAGGAGTAAGGGCGGCGAGGTCCTCGCGCGCCATGATGGGCGGCGACCTGTACGCCCTTGACTTCGACGGCGTCTTATGCGACAGCTGCGGGGAGAGCTCCCTCTCGGCCGTCAAGGTCTCCTTCTTCCCTCCTCGGTCTTGTTTCTTCCGGGCCTGGTATGCGTGAAATATGCAACTGTGCGTTATTGGTTGACACGGTGTGCTATGGCAGGCTGCGAAGGTGAGGTGGCCGTCGCTGTTTGAGCAGGTGGATGCCGCCATGGAGGAGTGGATAGTGGAGCAGATGTACACCGTAAGACTCCTTTGTTCCCCACCCATTACTTGCTCCTGCTTGTGTACGGTGTACCTACCAAGTTAGCATATCAAGGCTTCATGTAGCTATGCCATGACTTTGCAAAATTGAATTTATTAATTGGTTGGAAGCGTTTTTCATGGAGATGTGGGTATCTATAGATCCCCCTAAGTAGATTCCATGTTGCAATGCAGCTCACCACAGCAGCAGCAAACTGTCCCTAATTTGCACCTTACCATTGCAGCTTTAGGCAACAAGAATGTGACAAAAAAAACAACAGAAAAACTAATATAATTTGCCAAAAAAAAAACAATGTGTTGGGTCATTGAGTTTAGTGGATTGGAACAGTGCGCAACATGCAGCTTGCTCATATTGCTAGTTTTGTTATGTCTTTTGGTGCCCTATCATGAACTACTGAGCCCCTTAGTTCAATCTAGCTTGTTGTTGCCTAGGGTTATAAAAATCAACCAAGAATCTACTTCCACCGATACTCCTTGCCAGCCAACCCCATCCATCATTGCTGCTGCAGTAGTGAAGTCCATACTCCATATCAGCCGGCCACCATGATGTATCCCCGTTTGTTAGAGCTTTGGGTGGCTTCGGCTCTGGTTCCTGCTCCTCTGTGCACTGCAGCGAGGAGACATTTCTCTCTCCTCAAAATGAACTAGGAGCCAGCGAATCCACTATTTTCGGCTTCATTGGCTTTGGCTCCTCCGCACTGTAGCAAGGAGCTGGAGCTGTTTGGAGCCATGCCAAATAGGGCCTAAAGCTTTGCAGCAACTTATCTGCTCCTCATGGTGCAGATACAGATCTGGGACCTGGTTAAACTTAGGTGCATTTTATTTCGTACCCAAGATCCCTGGCATTGAAGGACAATGTCGGTATCTAAACAAATTTTGAGGTTCTTGTAAGCAGGTGGTCACTTAAGAGGATGGTGGTACAATATTGGAGTGCAAAACCTTTCTCTGTTCGTCACTTTGTTTTCCCCAAACACATGAAAGTTAACATACCCACTGTATGAAGTTATCGCAGTACTACTGCAAATGTATTGGTAGGTACTCCCTCCGTTCCAAATTGTAAGTCATTCTAGCTTTTATAGATACATAGTTTTTACTATGGATCTAGACATGATGTATACCTACATAACAAAAGCTATGTAACTAGAAAAGCCAGAACGACTTGCAATTTGGAATGGAGGGAGTAGTTGTTTGCTCCACACTTCACTAGACATTTGAACTTTAAATGTCTATAGTAGAAAACCAATGCTAATTGAACTATTTATTTATTTATTTATTTATTTATTTTAAAGAAACTATGAATGATTCTATGAATAAATTGACCTTATTTTTCCTGGTGAAGCATAATAGAACCATGTTCTCATATTGGTTGCGTGACGAGGAGCATAGGATTTCACTTTACATTCATTACTTAGAATGTTTTGTGCTATTCAGCTTCGTCCAATGGTGGAAACATGATATGAGAACCTGTTGCTTGTAAGGTTGCTTGTTGAGATCCAAATACCCTCTGTTTGAAAATCATCAGTAAGTTCTGCAGTGCTTCATCTGTAGTGTATTCATGACCAAAGTAACATCATGCCTGTCTTAGGTGGTAACAGAATAGGCAAAATGGTTATAGGCTTCTAGCTTGATCGATTTTTTATATAAGTAATGTTTGCAAGGTTGCAGATGGGCTTAGCATCCAAGAAATATTGGAGAACTGGTTAAAACTGAAGCCCATTCTCATGGATGAGTGGCAAGAAGATAGAGAATCTCTTGTAGATCTCTTTGGCCATGTAAGAGATGACTGGATTGAAAATGATTTTTCTGGCTGGATAGGCGCTAACAGGTGACTGATCTATGAAATAATTGGTGTATATTTTCTTTTTGGTCTGATAAATATATTCGGAGAAATCAGGTCAGATTAACTAAACACTTCGTTCTCTTATACAATTACCCTCGGTTGAGGGGAACACTTCAGAACTTTCAGAAATATTTTCAGGCTGGTCATGGATGTAATATAGATTGTACATTTCTGTATAGTAGTAGTGCTAGTGCCCTTAGACAGAGCATACAAAGATAGTTTAAGAAAGTAGTAGCAGAAACCTCATTGTATGTAAGTGGGACACAGGGACTAACTAGTAAATGACTTTCTAATTTGTATGTTTCAATGTGATATATTGATTAGTGGCTATCAAATAAGCTGGAAAGAAAATTGATCATTAATAGTTCTTGATTATTGGCTCCATGTCTGCAACCTAGACTTTTCTGTGCATGAGTGTCTCCAGGAGCACACAAATGATGCGTATGTGCTTTGCTGCATGTTATTGGCTCATTGCTTGTGTGTATGATTCTGTTTCACAAGTTAACTTAAGTTTATTTCTCCATGTGAAAGTTTTGTTTGACTTGAATAACTAGAATTTTGTAAGTCACTTCCAAGAGGGTGGCATCTGCAGTTTTTGCACTCTCTTTTCAGTTTTAGAGATATTAAACTTTCGAAAAAGTTGAATTAATGTGTTCACTCAGAAGTGTTTCATGTTCATTACACATAGAACAAAAGATGTGCAACTCATGGACGATTATGTGACTGCAGGTTTTATCCTGGGACAGCTGATGCATTGAAGCTTTCAAGCTCTGAAGCTTACATAGTCACAACAAAACAGGTCTATCTCATACATTTTCCTGCTGTGTGGTCTATCTTTTTGTGATATTCTGTGTCATGAGTTGTTTATGAACAACTCAGCATTGTGTTTTGACAAATGATTCTAATCTCTAACAACCATATTTAGGCTTTACAGTTTTGTTGATATTTTTTATAATAGAGATTTAGAAGTTTGTTTTCAGCTTTTAGTTAATTCAAATTTACTTTTACAGTTCTGCTCTGTAGGTAATGCAGAATGCTGATCTTCTACTGATCACTTTTTGGTTGTCTTTCAGAGTAGATTTGCTGAAGCGCTGCTCAAACAATTGGCTGGAATAGATTTTCCCTCTGAAAGGATATATGGCCTTGGCACTGGGTTAGTAGGGCACTTATTTTATGTTCCTTCACATATCAAGGGGATTATGTGATTGAATCTGTGATTCCATTCTTACAGTCCGAAGGTTAAAGTTCTCCAGCAGCTGCAGCAAATGCCACAGCACCAAGGCCTAAAACTTCAGTAAGTCCACTTTCACATGATCGAATTTTTACACCATTTACTGCGTTGTATAGCTAGTTCTGGCCAACAATTTATTGGCCAACAATATATAAATATTCCTTCCATACCTAATCAATTAGTTGGGACATCCTCTATTACTGTCAATCAAGGAATTACAGTTGTATCTTTGGTTTTGTTGCACCTGAACAGTTTCATCGAGGACCGACTTGCAACTCTGAAGAATGTGATCAAAGAACCAGCGCTGGACAAATGGAACCTCTACCTGGGTAAGTCATGGTTGATGGTTCTAACAAAACCCAATGATTGATTACTCAGTAGTCAAAACTAATCTGTGTCGCTGATGTTGCTGGATGCTGTTTGCTCAGTGACATGGGGATACAACACACAGAAAGAGAGGGAAGAAGCAGAGGCTATACCAAGGGTCCAACTCATTGATCTCCCAGATTTCAGTAGGCAGCTCAAATAGCTGGCAGTGACATGGCGTGGATCTTGGAACCTTTGTTTTTGTTTGATGTACGTAACTAGATATGAACAGCAGAAATACTTGAATTTTCCATCGAATAAATTGTTCACATATTTGTGGACTGATTTATTTCAAGCATTCTTCTCCTGACTTAACTAAGATCTTATAACAAACTGAAATGTCATACTGTGCGCCCAATATGGGGGCGGTTGACGCCCGGGCGTAACAGCTCTCGACGAGAATCGCTGCCTGTAAAATGTGCGCCCTCAGCCTGAGCTTCCTTTCTCTCCTCTGAGCTTCTCTCACTTCGCAAATCATCGATCTTTATTTTCCATGCATTGTATTGTAATAAATAGTTTGAAAGGTACTATCGATGACACTATAAAGTTTTAAATGTTTGAGTAGTTTGGTCAAATGATTATTTGTTACCAGAGTTGGCGCTTTTTTATTACTTTACCAGTTTGTATGTAAATTTGTGGCCTTCTTGGCTGATCTGTGATCTCTAATACCCTTACTTTTGTACTAAAAATTTAAAACTTTGAATCATTTGAAAATATTTTCGTAATAGTAAATAAGATGAACATACTTTAAGCGAATGAGTAATTCAAAAAGCAGTGCACAGAGTTACTAATAAGATTTTATAAGTAAGTTCGTAATATTTTGTGCGTTCGGTACTGGTGATGGTTGCAGTCGAAGGGTTTCATCAGAATAGAACGAGAAAGACGGCATGGCATGTCAAATCCTAAATGGGGCTTTATTCGTCTTAAAAATAAGTCCTTATCCGATATAATACAAAAATTTAAATAATCTCAACTTTAACTAAGTTTATAAAAAATACCAATACTTACATATTTAAATAGATTTACTATGAAAATATATAATATGGTTAATCTAATGCTATTTATTTATTATTATAAATATATATTTGAATTTATTTGATTCCTTAATATGAAGACTTATTTTATTTTAAAACGGAGGGTATATTCTGTTGACCAAAATGTGTATGCCGATTGCCAAGTCTTTGATTAGTCTCACTGCCCTGTTTGTTCCGCTGAAATTTGATTTATGACGTTTATGTTGATCCGCTGTAAGAGAAAAACGATATTCCTGGCCGGAAAGTATCGCTGTACAAGCGAAGATTAGGATCTCTGCGCCTGCTCCTGCGTACCATCGCGCCGCGGCGGGCGACGGCCAGGCGCCTCCACTCCTCCTGGCGATGGCCGTGCGGTCCCGGCCTCGCCGCTCCGCCTACAACCTTTACCACCTCCGCCTCCCTCGGCTCCTCTTCCTCCTCCCGCTCGCTCTCCTTCTCATCCTCTTCCTCGCGCACCTTCCCGCGCTCCTCCGCGGCGCCAACGCACACGGCCGCCAGTGCCTGCCAGCCGCTACCGACCGCCTCCTCCCCTTCCCCCACCCCATCGGGGATCCCCGCCTCAGCCTCGCCATAGTCACCCTCGCCGACGAGGACGCCGGCAGGCCGGGCGGGCGGCGGTCCTTCCGCGGCGTGCTGGCGGCATCCGCGCGGAACAAGCGCGCCTATGCCGCGGCCCACGGGTATGGCCTCGTCGCGCTCCCCGCGTCCGCCGTCGACCCCAGCCGCCCGCCCAGCTGGAGCAAGGTCCTCGCGCTCCGCACCCACCTCCGCCACCACCACTGGCTCTTCTGGAATGACGCGGTGGGTCGCTGCTGCTAGTTACTTACTACTGCTGGATTGAAGCTTTGATTACTATACTATCAACGTAGGAGGAATCATGTTTCTTCTCTTGCACATAATTGGTTTGCTTAGTGACCACTAATTGCTCGTATTTTATTTTCGTTGTTACAGGACACGCTGGTTACTAACCCGGATATCCCGCTGGTGAGTCTCATGCTTGTAATTTGTCCGTCGTCGGGCTATCCACTTGAATAGGAATACTTGGCATGCACAGTCCTGATATCACGATCAAACCAATGGTTTTTGAAGAATTGGGCTCTATTGTAGATGCACTTGGTACAGCATCTACAGTTGGGTCCCCATGTTGGGGTGTTCTCCTGACATTGCTCATCTTGTTCACATGTTTGCAGGAGAGGATTTTATTCTCAGTGATCGGACATAATGATTTTGATGAGTCACCTGATCTTGTTCTGACAGAGGATTTCGGTGGTGTGAATGCTGGTATGGGAGACTAACACTGTTAACACAGAGTATTTGTGTCTTTTGTTTATCAAAATTGCTTTGCTACCAAATTGTTGGTACACTGATTTTTAAGCATGTCCAACCCCAAGAGGCATCTCTATACTCAAATCGTCAACTCGTCTTACTGTCAATATAATGGAGTTTGAAACTACATTTATTCATCTGAGTGTTTTACACCCACTCATGCATGTTCAGAATAATGTGATGTCCAGAAATAAACATGTCGAATGGCCATCTCTGTTATTCGGTGGCATGATTTTACATTCCTTTTCTAGTTCATCATTCACTATGATACTGTAAAATAGGCATACCACTTCTCATGCAGGAGTTTTCTTCATAAGGAGGTCAAAATGGAGTGAGAGGTTTTTGGATACATGGTGGAACCAGACATCGTTTATACAGTTTGGTTCCACGAGAAGTGGAGATAATGCAGCACTCAAGCATCTCATAGATCACTTATCAGCTGAAGAAATGCAAGAGCATGTTCGGATAGCAAAAATGCAGTGCCTCTTCAATTCCTACCCATGGACTCTTACGTTGAAATCGGTGCACCGCCTGATCTTCCACCTGCCCACTACATGGAAAGGTTCCCTCAGTCACTCTAGTACACTACATTGCATTTGTAATGAGGGTTTGCATTTGAATGTTATGACTCATTGCATTGATCTTGAGGACATAACTTCCTAGGAATTGTTCAGATTTATCTCCTGACTTATTTGATAGCTTTGAAAAATTGATTTTCTATATACAAATTGATAGTGCAACAATGGGAAGGATGGTATCACATTAAATTAAGCCAGTACTTACTTGAAAACAAGAAAGGTGACATCCCTCCAGCATTCATGCGCTGCATATCTTTCGTCTAGTCTTACCACACGCCAGTCACTGCCACCTTACATGATCGCCTATCCCTGCATTGATTTCCAATAGGCTGAAATTAGGTTTGCTTGGAGTACCGTATACCAACAGCAAGTCTCCACGTTCCTTCTGATGGAAGTTTTTACTATTATGTATGGCCTCTTTAGTCTCCATGTTTTGTTCACAGCATATTGCATTTTCAGGGGTTTATTCAGATGGAGACTTTATGGTTCATTTTGCTGGTCTGGATGACAAGCAAGGTTGGACGAATAAGATTCTTAGAGAGAGAGGAAGTCAAAGATAAGCTGATTTAAATTCACAATTAGTCTAAGGAGTAATCAGAAGATTATGCAAAGGCCCTGATTTATCTGATCTATTCAGTGGTATACTTATAGACAGTACAGCACGTCAGGATGCCATTGTCAATAGTCAAAACTGTGGCATCTGGAAGGTCTAACCGGGCAACCAGAAGTTTGTGTGAAGGCCTTGACTGACATGGTATTTCGTGGTTTTGTACACCAGGGCATCAAGATGCTGTGGTCAAAAGTCAAAACTCTGCCATGTCAGATCTACCCAGGGTGTGTTCACTTCCTGTTGCTACTGTTAAACCATCATTATCCAAACAGAACAGAACCTTCATATAACTGCCAAGCTTGCATGGAGGAATAATCAAGATTAGCGCATCTGCATAACAGAACTAGCTAGGCAACAGACTGGGTTTTGTGGCCACTCCCATGTTGTACATGGTTTCATGCTAATTATTGTCATTATTGATTGGTCTACAAGCAGTATGAGTGACCCACATATGTTGTATGTCCAAAACATTAACAGCTACTAAATGCCAATATTTCCATGTAATATTTGCGGAGTGCTTGTCTATTTGAGGTTTTGTATATGTGCTGGCAAGGATTTGCCCAAAGTATAAGTATAAACAGCTACTAAATGCCAATATTTCCATTTCATATCTGCAGAGTGCTTGTTAGTTTTAAGGTCTTTGTATATGTGCTGGAGAGGATTTGCCTTGCGTTGCGTTTAGGACTAGCTGCATCGTTGTTAGGGGTGTCTAGCTATGTGGTCGAAGGTGCTGTGAACATGATGCTGAGACTCATCGATCCATTATCCATAGATAGCACTGGCTGTTGTCGAGAAGACTCAAGCCTTCAAAACACAGTACCCTTAGGCCTTAGCGAAAGGGCTAAACAATCCATAGCACTGAAACTGAACAGACTCATGTTGTTGTGAAACGAAATCCATATGGTTACATGATGCCGAAGCAAGTTTATTTATTTTGACAAGTGCAGCTCAACAAGTCAGCAGCAGCAGCCTGCTTCAGTTTTATTTGAGACACGCCATGTCGCCATGCATGGGGACATGGGGTCAGTCAATTAAGGGCAGAAGACGATGTCGTAGTTGGCGCCGGTGGCGCAGGTGAAGGTGCTGCTCCCGTCGTCGAACGCGTAGCTGTAGGCCTGCGGGCACTTGCGCTTGAAGTACTGCGAGTAGCGGCTGGGCTTGCACGTGCCGGGGCTCCCATACCGCCCTCTGCAGCAGTACTCGTCGGTGTTGAACGCCACGCACGCGCTCTTGCACCCCACCGTGCCGCCCCCGCTCGCCGCCTTCACCGCCAGCTCCCGCGGGCACGCAGCGTTGATGTCGGCGGCGCAGGTCACCGCCCGGCAACCAGCAGCGCCGTGCGGCGCGATCTGGAGAGGCACGTTGAAGCCGTCGACGTTGCTGATGTCGAAGAAATCCTTGCCGCCGGCGCCGCCGAGCGTGAATTCGGCCAGCGTGCTGGGCACCTGGCCGCCGGCGCCGTTGCACTCGAGCCTCCCCCCGCAGTCGCCGGACGCGCACGACAGGGCGCCCGAGGCCCCCGCGGAGCAGCGGTGGCGGGGCCAGATGCGGCCGGCCCAGGTGCCCGGGACGCCCTTGTACTGGGCTCTGCCGCCGGGCTTCAGCTGGAAGCCGGTGGTCGGGAAGCCCGGCTTGCCTGGGTTCGTCTGCACGCCCGGGTAGATCGGCTCCCGGCATTTGTTGATGAACGTGAACGTTGCTGCCATTGCGCCTGAAATGGTGGAAGGAGTAGCTTACCAAATATTGTACAACTTATAAGCTGTTTATTACAAAAATAAGTTGAAACTAATAAAAGCTAAGCAGTCCGACTTTTACAGCTTTTTCTGGCTGCACTTCTCCTCACAACACTCATCTGTACTAAAACATATACTAAGTTAGAATAGATCCGCTTATTTTGACAGTCGTTTTTTCTCAATTTGTGCACCTTTTCATGAAAACACTTTTTTACGGCTCTATCAAACAGCGCCATTGTGGCGCTCTGCTTTGGACCGCGATGTGTGGCCACGCAGTAAGGTTGCTGAACCGCGGCTCTGCGACCACCGTACTAGAAATATTGGCTCAATCTCGACATTTTTTATGACATATATGTTAATTAATAACTTGATTTCTTCACCAAGCATGCATCCTTAAATGTAGGGACAAATTTTTTGCATGTATTAATTAATATACATTTCTTTTTATATGTCATCATTTGGAAGGTGGTACTATGTATTTTTATTAATAGTTAAATAAAATATGCTAATTTAATTTATCTTAGGACCATTGGGATTTGCATCTACTCCTTTCGTCCCTAAAATCTTAAATGTTTTATTATTTTTAGAATAGATTAGTGCTCAATAAAGATTGCATATGTACCCCCTATTTATTAAAGGTGAATCATAATAATTAAGGAACAAACCTATTATTAAAAGGAATGCATAAAGAAATGCAGATCGTAATCTCAAGCTGATATGGACCCATTTGTTATCCAAGAGCTAAAACATCAAATCTTCTAGGATATTTTTTGAATCCTAAAACATCATGTTTTCTAGAATGGAGGGAGTAACATGTTTCTATTCAAGCTATTTTTCTTAGAGGGATATAGGAGTTTGATTTCCCATAGTATAACTAAAAGAAGAGAATTGCCCTTTTTTTAGGGAAATTGAAAACATAAAACTAGGGGGTTAGGGTGGGCTGTGTTTGTTTTTGCTACAAACTTCTCACAGATCATTATTCAAGTGTATATATTTTATAACGCTTCTAAACTTTTCTGAGCCCTACTTATTTTGTTTCATTTTTTTTTTTGCAAATCCAATATGTTGCTAACCGTGATGGAAGTCGTATCTAATGATGGTCACCGTATATCAAAGAAAGAACAGCTCAAACAAGTGTTTCTTTTTTCTTTGAAGGTACAGTATACAACTATAAAGCCACAGCTCAAAAATTGAAGGCAAAATAGCCAAATTCGTCCCTGAACTATAGGAAATTGAAATCGTCTTTGGGCTCAATTTCTAGGGGGTCAGGTCCACTGAACTATGTGGGCTGTGTGCTTGTTTCTAACCTCAAACTTCACCAGATCATTATTCAACTTAGTCTTTGTATATTTTTAAATTTAACTAAACTTTTTTATTTTTAAATCTAAGCCTACTATATTTTGTTTGGTTTGTTTTTTTACGAGCATCTTAAAGACCTCAAATTAAAAAACTCAAAACTAGAAAGTTATAGATCTCATCCGAGAACAACAATTTGATGGAATATATAGAGATAATGATTTTCCAATCATCACCGTATATCAAAACATTATTTAAGAGCATCAGCTCAAAATTAAAAACTCAAAACTACAAAGTTGTAAGATCTAAACTACAAAGTTTTTTCTTTCTCTTTTCATATAAAAATCATCTTCATCAAGAGGTATCAGTATACAACTATAAAGCCACAGCTCAAAAAGATTGAACGTTGGAAGATCAATACCTGGCGCAAAAGCAGAGGCCGACCAGAGAAACAACAAAATGGCCCACAAGCTTCCCATGGTGGCCTTGGAGGCTTGGACCTTGGTAGACAAAACCACTGAAGAACCACAGCAAGGCAACCGGAAAAATTCTAGGGAACTTGGGCATCGCAGAAATGATGAAGCACCTATGTATTTATAGGTAGAGTTTGCTTAGTATAAATGCTACTAGTAGCTTATTTTAAGTTCTTCATAAATTGAATAATAAAGACAGTTGGTGTTGGCATATCTTTTAGAGAGGTATACTTAATTATTCATATGTTTTATACAAACTTAGTCAAACTTAAAATAGTTTGACTTGACTAGATCTATAAATTGTATTCTTGTTGGAACAGAGGGACTACAGAGTACTTTGTGTATTGGGGTGGTTGTACCAATCTTTGCTTGATAATTTCACGTGACACAGGAGACTTTGGTATGTTATAAAATTAGTGGGTAGCCTTTATGCTACCCCCGATAGGAAGTATGGTTCACATCTTTCTCATGTGTTAGAATTAGTATATTAAGACTTTTTTCTCTTACGTGCCAGAATTAGAATGAAATAAAGCTATATATTAAGATTTTCTCCTTATGTGTCAGAATTAGAATGAATAAAAGCTATATATTCATAGAGATAAAGTTTTTGTACTAATTTAATAATTGAGACCTACTTTATGGGCACAATCTATAGAGTAATTAATTGTTACTTTGACTATATTAGATTATTATGCATTGTGCAATGTTGTTCCTTCCTAATAGTATATTAGATTATTCGCTTGAACTTATCAGCCTGACTTATCAACCATGGTACATTGTTTTTCTCTTACAACAAATCAGCGAACAGTACTTTTCAGCCTGAGCTTTTCAGCGAAGCGAACAGGGCCGAAACTCAATACCCTCTATATGATGTGGTAGCCTTCATAGCGAAGTATTCACACTCATTACCCATATATTTTAGTACTAATTTTTTAGTGGAAAAATGATATTTATAGTTGTAATATTTGTGCCATTTGGCGACTAACTTTAACCCTATATTTGCGTGTGTCATGCGTTTTTGAGCATTTTGATATTTTCTAGGAAACATGTAATAAAAGAGGCGGTTCAAGATATGCTCCACTACACATTGTTTTTTACAATCATCACCGATTTCTTACGGTGACGGTTCACACACTACTACAAATATGACCATCCATGATGTTTAGCTTTTGTCATAGACCTATAAAAATGTGTCACAAATAACTAGCCATGACAAATAAAAAAATAATCATGAAACTCATGTCATAAATTTATTGCCCCAAAAAAGAACATTGCAAATCGAAAACAACAGTGATGTTTCTATCCATCATGGATTATTTGTCCATCTCCTATAACTGGCCTACATTCGGCCATAGTGATGAAAAAGAACATCGCAAATTGGCGCCACATCATCACCACATGAACATGCATCACAACTCATAAGATACACCAATCATACAAACAAACATTGATTCATTCATGTATAATGTATTCGCAAATCCACTACTATCACATTTTGTAAATCTACATATTGACCTGGCCCACAACCATTTAGCTTCAGGCCCTGCCCCTCTCTTCTATGCCCTAGGATGCAGCCGAGGCCACCGCCGCCGTCCCCCGTCTCCACCACCGCTGCTCCCCCTCCCTTCCCCTTCGACAACTAGCCGGAGGCCAGAGGGGAGTAAGGATCCATCTCTAATAAGTTTTTCAAGTAGATCGATGTCAACAAAATACGACCGGTAGTCTATCGAGGGGTATGCCCACGGTAGTAGATGAATCGGTGGAGGTGCGCGTGATGGGAGCTAGACGGTGACACAGAACGCAAGAGACAACGATTAGGCAGGTTCATGCCGTCAGCTTGACGTAATACCCTATGTCCTGCATCTTTGGTGGATTGTATTATGAGATGAGATATGAAAACGAGGGGGGGGTCTCTACCCGCCTTATATAGCTCGGAGGTAGGGTTATAGGTCAGTTGAATCTATTTTGATCGGTTTTTATAAGGAATACAATATCTGGCATATTTGATCAGATCTTCCGTCGTCATCAAGGATGCTTCACGCAGTCTTGAGGCGCACGCCGACCTATGCCGTGCCCCACGCGGTTTGATCTTGCAGGCTGAGCCTCCCCTGGTGGCTCGGCCCATGTACAACCCTAAGGGTATCAGGGGTAATACCCCCATAGCTAGTCCCTGAGCTCCTTATATCCGCTGAGCAACACCGTCTTGAGCTTGTCCGAGCTGTTGAACTTGCTGCTGATCACCAGAAGCAGGCTTCCGACCAGTTTAACTAGGAGCTGAGCTGTTGAAAGGAGCATTTGAGCAGTTGAAACCGGTGTCTGAGCAGTCGAAGCATATGTCCGAGCAGTTCAACTAGGAGCCAAGCTCGGACTCACTCGCAGCTCAGGTTTACCAGAAGGATGTAAGGAGCTCAAGTAAACAAATTTTGAAGCCTTCACCTCAGGTGAAGTGTGCCCACTTAGGTTCCGGGCAATGAAGTTGGATGCTTAGCATCCTTGACTTAGTCCGCGAAGGAACTTAGTCCCTCATGTGGCAACAGTAGATGCTTAGCATCCATGCTTAGGCAAAAGAGACTCTTAGAGCCAAATGAAGAATGTTGACAATTATCATCGATGACTTAGTTGTTTAGGAGAGCAGGGAGTCCTAGAAATAAGCACATTCACCGCTAGATGAAGTGTGCCCACTTAGTCCCCGAGCCTGATAGTAGGTGAAGTATTCACATGGTGCTGGGGTCCAGAAAAGTATTCTTCAGGTGCTAAACCAGTCCCTAGCTTAGCTAGACACCAGTCCACAGCTTAGCTGAGAGAAAACAATGTAGAAAATAGTACAATCATCACAAGATGACATGTACACACGTAGTCCCCAAGCCTGCTAGAAGATTGAGAAGAAATCTTGTAGCAGGATCTGAAGAAAAAATCTTGCTCTGAAATTCCTAAGTAAATAGGTGGAACAGTGCTTAGCACTTAAATCTGTTTGGCGGCCCACGTGCAACGCGGCTTCAATTGTGGATCCACTAGGCCCAGTTAATGGCCCAGGATAGCTGGCGGAGGTTTTAGGAGTGAAAATGATGTGGCAGGCGTGGTTTTCCAAAAACCCTAGAAGCCAAAGAGTTGGGGTCGAACCGTTATAAAGGCGCCGTAGCCGCGACGCACACTCCCCACCATTTCACCATCGCATCATCTTCCACCTTGCACTCATGCCTCTAC